ATATATATATATATATATATATAGAGAGAGAGAGAGAGAGAGAGAGAGAGAGAGAGAGAGAGAGAGAGAGAGAGTAACCCACAAGCAGCATGAAGTGGAATGAAAAATGCGCTTTGGTACAAAGGCAGGAGCATGAAATATAGTCTCATGCAACTAAAGGACCCCAAGGAGTCCTCTAGGTCATTTCCACACCTTTGGGGTATCAGGGCTACTAAGCCAAGGGCAAGGCATGGAGAACAAAGGGCTTCTCCCATAAATGTATTCCATATCAACTTATTTGTGAGAAAATGCACAAAGAAACCAACTGTGGAAGCTCTACCTGGACCTGAGGGAGTTTTTAAAAAAATAAATAAAAAGGAATAATAAGCGTTAGGAAGAAGATTTCATTTTTCCTGCAACGCTAGAGGGCAGCCCTCCATCCGTGGAACCCAGCAGGCAGGCCTGGCCAGGCACGATGGGTGTGTGACTCGTGCTGCTGCACAGGGCTCCACACTTGGTTTAAGGTTCTGCTCTCACCATCTTAAAATTCTTGGAAATTTTTTGAACAAGGAGTCACACATTTTCGTTTTGCCTTGGGCCCTGCAGATTAGAGAGCCGGTCCTGCTAGCTGGTGACACTAAACAGTGCTTCCATCTCTGCCTGCGCGCAGCCCGCAGGGAGCAGGCTTGAGGACAAGCAGGCAGGCTCCTACGCCCAGGAGCTGCAGGCCACCTCTTCCTTCCTAATCCGGTCATCTTCACACACACTGTGACACACCTGAACGGTGATAAACCTGTTAAGGAATCATGCTGCCAGACAGGTTATTGAATCAGCCACTTTTACTTTAAAAAGAACCCATCTTCTAGTTCCTATTCCAAATCCAGTTAGGTTAGTTCAGTCAATAAGGGTGCTGCTGTACTCCGCCCTATGTCACATCGCTCTGATTGATTAAATAAAGGCGGGCGGGTAAGCTGTGCCAAGGACAGACACAGACATGTGCCAGCCCGGAGCTGTGAGGGCTGAGCACAGAGCACTTCCCCGCGTATTCGTTTTCCTCTCTGGCAAATGCATCACTGAAGTTTATATTATAAAGTAGGAACAGTATGTCAACAGCTTCATTATCACCATGAAATACGTCTTGTGTACCCAGATAACATTTACATGTTTATTGAACCTGAGTCTGTGGACTCAGAAACCATACAGCCATCGCCAGGTGATGGCTCCTAGAAGTCGCGTTAATTCTTTGAGCTCCCTAAGGAACGCTTTTGCAGTTCAGTTTTTAGAACATCAGGAAAAAAGTGGCCGGATGTAACATTAATATAGTATTTATTTTCTTTCCCAACCTGTGCGGGATGATCTCGACATGTCTTCAAAAAGATCCCACTTGTTGGCTGATTTCATCAGTGATTTCTCAAGTGACAAAATCGGAATAAATATTTCATAGAATCATCTCTAGGATCTGATTTTAGGTGACTTGTTGGGATGTAGGGTCCCAAATATGCAAGAAGGTGGGACAGCTCTTTT